AAATATAATAAGCAAAGGACTCCATCAAAGATTACAGAGTATTCGTGATCAAACGTAGTGGACTAGTTACGAGGGTGCTTCAAAACGTAATGTTTCTTTTTATATGTGTTTCCTTACTTAAAACTAACGTGTTGGTTGAATAATTCTATTCAGGTATGTAGTCTGATCACAAGCACGAAATCAAAGTACATATTGCTTCAAAATAATAAAGATATTCACTTGTATATGTGTGTGACAGTTTGCAGATTTGTTAAAACATTTCAAGCTGGTATATCAAGCATTAAAGATGCAGGTCGAAAAGGTCGCCCAAACACTCATGTTACCAGAAAGAATGTGTCTTCGGTTGAGGTACTTGAAGAAGAAGATGGGCGATACACAGTGGAAGAGATAGCCAGTAAGGTAGAACTCTCAAATAGAATAGGAGCGCTCATATTCTGACCCAAAATTTGGGAATAAAAAGATATGTACTCGCTGATTCCCCCAATCACTGATCAGAAAAACAGCGCAATAAAGTTTTGTAAACATTTTTCTTTAATTGTTCCGGTACAGTGGTACAAACAACTTCAAAGAAAGAAACAGCTATTACTGGGTAGTTCATAAAGTGTAGAACAACATAGAATATATACTAAAAAAATGCTCCAAAATAGAGAAAGCAAGAATCCCTAAAGAAAGTCCAACACAACATGATTGAAAATGTTGCAGGCTCGGTTTAATTGAGCCTGTTCATGGACGGTACTGTAATGTGCAAACTACCGTCCACGCCCCCTAGCACCGGCTTAAGCAGAAGTCAACATTTAAAATGAAATGAAAACCCATAAAAGTTTAATTGTCGTAGACTTTCTGATCAAACAAAAAGGTAATATCTTAAACCACCTTCCCTACTCTACTGATTCAAGTTCACGTTATTTTTTTTTTCCGGCGGCTCAAAAAAGATCTTTTTGGGCGGAGATATAATAACAGGAGTGCACTTTGGGGCGCAGTGCATCATTGTCTAACATTGATACCAAGGAAAACAACTATGGGGCTTTTAAGCCATGGATTTTTAGATAAACAAAGTAAATTTCGGTTAAGGGGGCAGATTTCGAAGGGTTCAAATAAATCATTTTGTGGCACTATTAGCTGTCTTCAATTTTATTTATCAAGAAACATTACCTTTTGAAGCACCCTTGCTTAAAGAGGTCGTTCGCCCGCTCATCAAATTGATGCAGAAACCATAAAACCTGGAATTCGATTTGTCTATGCTCTGTTCAGGGTTGATCACCTTTGGAATAGATTAATTGTTGTATCATTCAAAGCCTTTGATATAATAACTTAATCTGCAGCAGCACAATTTTACGCGACATGACGATAATCAAAATTTATTGTTTTTTCATCTGACATAAATAAACTTATAAAATATATTTAAAAAAAAAAATAAATGAAAAAGTAAAAAAAAAAAAAAAAAAACATTAAATGGAATCGCAGCAAATTGATAACGTTATCCGTTCTTTTGTGTTGCTTCTCCTACTCCATCTGTATACGCCAAAACCTAGTCTCTTCTATAGAGCTTCGTTTACCTCACTTGTCACGTTTGAAAATTTGTTGACAAATAAGGAGATTTTGATGAATAAAATCGCGTTACTCTTTTTCTTTAACCCTATGGCAGATGAATGAATACTTAACCACAATGAAAGAAGTTCATGAAAAGTGTATAGATAAAGTTGTTCTTAAGTTCGAGTTCAAAACGCAATTTTAGGCATGCATGCAAAATAAGCTAAAATTCTAATTAAAGGACATTTAATATTGGAATAAATAAATCATATATAAATTCAGTTAATAAAATTATTCTTTTATGGCCATCAATTTGATAATATGTTCTACACGGAAACTGCTTCAACGATGAATGCGTGTTAAATTGCAAATCGTAAGACATTAAATTGTTTAGAATATTTGCGCCATGATTCCGAAAAGTATTGCGTAAATGTTATATTTATATTCACTAAATATTCTTTTTGATTTAGGATACTTATAGCATAACCGTTTCTGCTACCGACCATTCCGTGTCGAACTTTATTTACAACAAAAATGGTAAGCTCGTGCATCTGGTGCACCAGTTTAATTACAAATGACAATGATGTATGCTTTAAGATATAAAATCATTAAGTTCTGTGTTTTGAATAATTTTCAAAACGATTTGCTTGCCATTTTGAGTGACATAACCATAAATTTCTCTACACAAATCATTATCCAAACGTTTTGTTTGGCATGTTGAGTGACACAACATTTGTTTGTGTATCTTAATCAAATCTTAAAACGTTTTGATTGTCCTGGTGACTGACATTGTCATTAATTGTTTCATCTTAATCAATGTTAAGAACGTTTTGTCTGGCATGGTAAGTGACATAACTGTTAATGCATTGTTCTTAATCAATTCTAAAACAAAACGTTTTGCTTTCCAAATTAAGTCACATTCCTATTAACATCGTCAACATATAAAATGTTAAAGTAATTTACTAGAAGTTTTGAGTGATATTACCATGAATTTGTGCGCCTCTAATACATTCTACAACGTTTAGTCTTGCATGTTAAAGCCAAATAACATGACTGCTGTAGAAACACGTGTTTGACATCCATTATTACTTGTGTTCTTTTACGGGCCATTTTTTATTTTTCTAAATTACAACAGCATAATAACACTTTGAACTATTATACTATATCTGCTTGCATAGGACATGTAAGAGAAAGGAATAAAATCAAGCTACACAGTATCTTCGGAATGATACTGATTGGGACAATGGTAAAAACGCACAAATTTGGAAAGCATGGAGAGACGAACCAATTTATGATAGATGAATACCTACGTGTTAGTATTCAAACGATGATTTGTTGATACTTAAATCCAGTTTTTAATCACATATTTCTTTCTGATGTGAACATTTATTTACAGGTCCTTGTATTATAATTGACTAAAGATATAACATATTCTATTAAATATTTTTTCCAAATGAATATTAAATATATATATGATTGTCTATACATATATATATCGTAAATAAAATTTCAATTCAAATTGTGTTTGATTTTTAGACTTATCTTGCAAAGGATTGGAATTAAAATAATTCGGACGACAAGACAGTCTAAACAAGGGTTAGTGAACTATATATTTCGGAGGAAAATGTTTGTTTGCTAGTTTATTTCTCAGGTTTTAAGTTTCTAGAAAGGCCATAAGGTGACTACACAGCGTACATGGTTGATTTAAACTTCAGGTGCCCATCTACGAATAAGCGGGCACCTGAGCAGAACCACCGACGTTTCATAAGATGGTTTTCTTATGAGAGAGAATCAAAGTCATCTGCCACAAATGACCAGATGAGAATTTTTTTTTTTTTTTTTTTTTTTTTTTTTTTTTTTTTTTTTTTTTTTTTTTTTTTTGTTTCTTTTCAAGCCCTTTATATTCTCGATATTTTTGTGTTGTTTCTGTTAGTAATATTACAATTATTTGAATTGGGTCTTTACGTATTTCTCAAACCAACCTTATTTGAAAACTTAAAAACGGTTACAAAAATGAGCCAAGTTGTCATAATATCCTAGAACGTGAGTACACTTTACTGTTGCTCTTTCTAATATGAATAATTAACAACGCTCTAATAAACGCTCGAAAAGATTTTGGCGTATATTGTGATACACCGATCGTCCGTTTGTCCGTCTGTTAGCACTTTTCTTGTCTAGTCTATATCTTTTGAACCGGAGGATCTTGGCAGACATGTTTACCATAGTGAGATAATCTGCAGAGCGAAGGTTTGATCTTTCTCATGTCAAGGAAACACTTAGCCATTTTGTATCAATTTCATAACTTGGTGTCTATAGAAAAATTAAACATTGTAGGCAAAACATAATATATTATTAAGACAGTGTTTAGAAAACAGGTTCTGGCTTCCCGAATCAAAGTTGGACCCGGTCGGGGATTTCTATATTTATAAAGACTTATTTAGGAGTTTGCGTCTCCGGTCTGTATCTTTGAACTGCTGGAATAAAATTGAAACTACTTGGCAGAAATATTAATCATAAAGAGGTGATGTGCAGAGCGCAGGTTTGACCTTTCTGAGGTTAAGGTTAACGTCACACTAGGTCATTTTGTTATGTTACAGTTTCAAAATTTAGTGTCCGCTTTGTATCTTATGAACCAAAAAAATTACAACATTTTGGCAGAAATATTACTTAATTTAATGAATAAATGAGACGGTGTTGAAAACACAGGTTTGGGCTTCCTAATATCAAAATAAGCCCCACCCTGGGGTTTACATATTGCTATTTAATGATATTTATATAGACTTATTTAGGAAACAAATTTAAATACATTTTGTGAAACTACAATGTCTAGGGTTTAGATATTAAGCATGTAGCACTACCTTATTGACCTTTACAAAATTGGTATGAACGTGCCGGCGATATGCATAACTAAGGATGGGTATCAAACCAGCTAACTAATTAATCACGAAGGGGCTCATGGGGTCACCGTAAGTAAAGCTCGGACGTCTAAAAATAAAATGTCTTAAAACGTTACCAATTAGTCAACCGGACTATTTTATTCACTTTTCATTCAAAACCTTATCTTCTTAATGCAAACTTGAAATTTCTTTGCGTAAATTAGTTTAAGCATTTATATATAGATTTATTGATATATTCAACCCCTTTTCCCATCGGCAACATTACATAACAGTATATCGAATCAGTTTAAAATAAACAAAATCAATTTAAAGAAGACAGGGGAAACAAAACAAATATTACATTACACATTTTCTAATATTCAAACTTCGAATTATGATACCAAGTACTTAAATGATTTATTGTAAGGGAAACATGACAAGCTTTTTTTAAAATGTTAGTTTTTTTCACATACTTTGTCCATATGTCCTGATAGCTGAAATTATGCCGGTACACTAAAACAACTTTGATATATTACTTTTTTATCGATAAATAAGCTATCCTAATAATGAGTATACACTTTGATATATAAAACAGATCTAGCATTAAGTCAAAGACTTTAAGACAACTTACTGTATATCTTACTAAATGTAAAAAGAACACATTTAGCTGAATGCATTATCTAAAACATATTAAAATTTCTCTGATTCATTGCATCACAATTTAAACAATTACATCCTCTTGCAGTGTGTTTAACATGAGATGGTTTCTTTTCAATAATTCAACAGTATGTACAATATTGTTAGTTATAATTTTTAAAGAGGCCTTAACGCGAAAATAGCCTAAATGATAAGGATTACTAGTTGATATGCTGTACCAAGGCTAGTGAATGTAAAATTTAGCTGTTATGGAACACGTAGCAATTCATTATATATCGATTAATAGGTATTATTAAAAACTACCCTCTAACTTTTCTTCTCGTAACATCAGTAAAATAAAAACAAGTGATTTTTATTATTTTATGTTTTCTATCTAGGATAGGATTTCAAAGGTGGAAATATGAGACTGTATACCGTTAGTTATGTAGCTAGTACGAGCGTTCTAATTTACCTCGTTTATTTTATATACAAGAACCAGTCTTTGCAATTCTTTGACAAACGTTTCAGCCATAGAAACACACCTGATGATAAAACTGAAGTTGTATGGCAAGGTGTATTTCCACATGACCGGACACATGTTGTGCATGCAGAAAATATCAAACCTCTGACTTTATCAATAAAAAGAAACAGCTCGTTTGATTACAAAGCTGCCATGACGAAACTGAACGAAGCGAGGGTTAGACAGGACGACCCACGATTAATAAAGTTGATAAGGGATTACTACATTGAACCGCCATCAAAAACACCATATAACCTCACGAATCCTGAACAATTAGAATTCTCAAACGGACAAACGCCATTTGTTGACAGCAGGCTAAATTATATGGTAAGACAAATTAGTTGAAATTTCAAGATTTCTTATGTAAAGTTTTCCCCTGTTAGCCTCTGCGACTGAATGCAACTAAGAAATGACTGAATTAAAAGGCATTTGCATTCTCAAATTCTGCAGTTAAGGTTGTCTATTATACCTGAAACTTTACTATGTGCACCATTTTCCATTCTCAACAAATTCGGCTGATATTCTCTGCTTAACCGAAAACAATTGTTCCGAATCTTGCAAATACTCTTTAAAGTAGAATTTCTCCGGATGCATGTTCATTTCATTAAGACTTCAAATTTTAGATTTTTGTATTTGAAATTGAAATGTATTCACACATTGCAAACGGCACATACAAGCCACGTTAGGTACTAAAAATAGGTAAAATATGCAAGAATAGCCCTTAATGCGATAGTCATGTAGATAAATTATGTTGAAAAATACCAAAACCAGTCACTTATCGCAAATATAAATATTATAATGTTATACTAAAATATCTGGAGTCATGCAACATTCCAAATGCAGCTGCTTTACAATATATTTAATTGAAACCACTTTAATGATAAAATTAAAAATATTTAAGGCTCTCCTTTTTTACTGACGATGTGGGACATCAGCAAATTGAGAACGCGTCACTTAAATATAAAAAATGTATACAATTGGTGTCAATTTAAATATAATCTAACACTCAAATGCCGACTTTCCAGTTTTTAATTATTCATAGAAATATAGCAGTTATGAACACGATATAATTGACCAAAAAAGATGAATAGTAAGATATATGATTTATCGCAATGTAAATTCCTTAACAAATTATTCTTCAGGAGGGTGGATTTTACATTGAATGTGGAGCTTTGACTGGGGAAAAAGGATCAAACACCCTCTTTCTTGAAAAAGTACGGAAATGGAATGGTTTACTTATAGAGGCAGATCCAGAAAACTTTAAAGTTTTAAAGACTAAGAACAGAAAGGCCTTTACTATGCACGCTTGTTTGAATACAAAACCATACCCAGCAGTGGTAGGTACTTTTCACTACATGATGCAAACAAAACTTGACAATAAGAAATCCGTTATTACATAAAAGGCGCTGATTAAGATCCACTTTTAGTCTAACATTAGAAAGTATCATGTTTTGTGCTCTCACATAAAAATGATAACCATGTATTTATTTCATAATTCCTTTAGATGACGTTTAACAAAGCTTTTAACAGAGGCCGAGTCGTCCACAATCAAGAAGCCAAGAATTGGATCAAGAGACATAATATCACAAAAGATGAAGTTCTGGTCCAGTGCTTCCCCCTCTATTCAATCCTCCTAGCTTTAGGTCAGGTGAACGTTGATTTTTTAAGTCTAGATGTAGAAGGAGATGAGTTAAATGTTCTGAAGACCATTCCATGGGATAAAGTTTATATGAAGATGTTGACAGTTGAGTATGTTCATGAAATAGGTTCATCGGGTGAGTTAAAGAAATATGTAGAAAAACAAGGGTACGATTCACTGTTGCAAGTGTCAAAAGGTGGCGGAGGTGTTAACGATATCATTTTTAGAAAGAAAGGGCTGACACATAAATATATCATTTGAAAATGTGTGTAAATCAATTTCATTTGTATAGGCCAAACAAAATTAGCAAAGTTGTTGCATAATAATGTAATGGACATTGTGATGAATATTTTAAAGCTTATGTTGGTTGAAGGAATAATTTGTAAAATATTTGACATCATAATTGTGTGTGCATGGAATATTCTTTTGAATATTGACACATGTAAAGGTAAAAGTCAAGTTGGGAAACCAGCCATGTGACGGTAGAGGATATATTTCTAAATATACAGTTTAATAAAACATTAACAAGTTCAGCTAAGCAATTATTGTTGAAAATATGATAGATAAAAATTATTATCTATTAAAGGTTGATTGACATTGTCTGACGGAAAATGGTGTCGGATGTACCTTTTTCGGTACTATGTTTTAGTACAAACAATCTAATTATATTTTGATATGATACTGCTTTTAGTCAAATCGTTTTCTTATTACAAATTGTCTGAAAACAAACAAATCTCTTAAAACGTTTAACATTCAAGAACGAAAGCATCACATTTCCTTCGGATGTCTATTAGACTTTCTGACGAAGAGTTAAGATATCCATGGCATTCAAGAACAAACAAAAAAATGTTTTTAAATCAACAAGACTTAGTGTTTTTTAGTGTTTACCACAGCAAGATATTTAATTGTATTTCAAGAAGTCGTTTTGGTTAATCGTTAAATAAAAACATTTGGGATCCTTTTACAGGACTGTACTTTATCGCATTTTATCTTTTTAACAAACATGTCATGCAGCGCGTCAAACCATTATGTCCCCAATATATAACTAAATAAAAGAAAGAAAGAAAGAAAGAAAGAGAGAGAAAGAAAGAAAGAAAGAAAGAAAGAGAAAGAAAGAAAGAAAGAAAGAAGAGAAAGAAAAGAAAGAAAGAAAAGAAAGAAAGAAAGAAAGAAAGAAAAGAAAGAAAGAAAGAAAGAAAAAAAACAGGTATTGCAAGAACATAATTATTTGAAATTGGATGACTATGAAAAGAAGTTAGGTTCAGCATATATACAGTATAGCAAAAGGTAACTTTACCGGATTTGACATTTTTTCAAGACAGCAAAGTAGTATTATCTGAAAAGTTTTGATAAAGTTAATTTTTTGCTGTAAGAAATGAAAAAGAATGGTATATCAGTATTTTTGACCCTGCAAATGATTTAGCTTTGATAATGTTGTCGTAACTTTGGGTGTTTGTGGACGGATGGTTGTATGGTTTTTAATCGGAGTAACTGTTTACTTTGATTTCTTTACAAGAAGTATCGAAGCAATAGGAACAAAGGAAGAATATTTTCAGCCGAGCTAAAAAGGCCTTCGTTAAAAAAGACTGTTTTGACAACATATGTCCAATGTTTCATCGATACCGTTAAGTTGTAATACAGTAGTTTGTCATATAATGAAATGCAATGATGTTCAATGCTTTTATATTAATAATTATATGGAACAACATTTTCTTTAAAAATTTATTACTTTATCGTACTTCCATTTTTAGCATATCTGCTATTCAAAAAATGTTGTGAATACACATTATGTGTTTTAATACTTGAAGAGTATTGTTTGAATTGTAGCATTACCTTATACTAGGAGATAAGTATGTTCCATATTGAAATAAAATACGTTTGCTGTTTTAACTACACTTTCATCTACACCTTCCTCATCTGACCTGTCACTTAAACATGACCTCAAGTTTAATACTATCGTAGTTATAGATTGCCTGATTTAATGAATGTATGTAGCAGCTATAATTATCCTTACAACTCACAATAGCACGTAATATCATATCACGTCATATCATGTGTATTTGTCAGAATAACGTTTATTATTTTCATTCGTGTACACTATCATAAATCTAACATATGGTTTACATAACTGGTTTGTGATTTGTAAATTTTTATAAGAGTTTGTTCCTCAATCTCCAGATTCAAACACGTGTTATAATTTTAATGCATCAACGAACTTTTTAACTATGAGAATATCTTTGTTTCGATCTTTTTTTCGACCGGTCATCAATGTTTGTTGATTTTAGTTTCGTCGTGGAAACTTGTATCTCACATATCCCATTAATGCAGCCATATCTTCGTTGAAAGATCTATAAAAGGCATACAGCAAGTCATCCGTCTCTTGTTTAGCCGGCCAAGTACAGTTTTCTTTTGAAACATTTTTCTTTCTCAAGCTTAAAATTGTATGAATTAACGTGTTATCAACTTCACCTTAAATATAAAAACAACATACATGTTTTATTCAGTTATGTTTGCATATGTGTATGCTTTAACTGGCATGCGTTACACTACGACAATTAACTAGGCTAGCACGTGTATATTTTCAGCAATCATCATAATAATTGTGAGTTTTTGATCTAATGATATGCCTAAAGATTAGATAAAACTAAACAAAAACAGAGGCGAATCTTTTTAGTAAAATGTTAATGATGAGGGTAGAGCATCTGCCGTAATACATCAATTATATTATGCATTTCTGATTGTTTCATGATAATTATAGCTCCTTACTAAAATGAAGAAAGCTGAAAATACTTTTCAGCGTCATTTCCATCTTTGCCACGTAATCACTCATCAGTATTGCTTTTATTTGATCTCGCCCAAACACATTTATCATGTCTCTCATATACACAGCATAAAACCCAGCTGTAAAACTCACGGCTAATTCAATACGTTTCTGTAAAATGTTTATGTTAGATATTGCACTATACATAACATATAATTATAGTATATTAATTTCAATTTGGCATGATATGTAATCTAGACACTAAGTCTGCAACATGTGCGTACAGGTAAGAAAACATATTTTCAACGTCACTAAGAGAAAACCAAGAAGTTGTTTGAAGAAAAATATTATCAAGCATATTCTAAAAGAAAAGTAGTCATTAGCATTACTGTCTTGTCAGTTAAGAGTGAGTTAATCTTTATAACAATTATCATTTTAACAAATAATATCAATATGTAAAGGATACCGCCAAAAGTTCCTGCCTCAGAGTATTATTGTAAACGCAACTTCTTCGTGTAAAACTTTTAAAACAATTTTGATATGCAGCTATCACAACTTGTACTTGTTTGTGGAAGATTTGTAGTGACCTATTCTTGTACCTCCCTCTGGTATTATGAAGGAAGTCTGAATACAGTCTACGAAAAGATAAACAGGATAAACCTTTATATAAAACATACGTTAAAATGATTCACAATGAATACCGGATAGGGACGGAACTGAATTGTGTAAAAGAAATATGTTTTTCTGTGCATCTTGTTCTGAGTATTGCACAAAGGCACTCAATGTGTCATATAATGGAGGTAAAAACTGTCATTTATGAAAGTGACCCAAAAAAACTAGATTAGTTTGATGTTTCTAAAGCTGATATAATTGCATCGCTTTTTAATAAGCCCATATATCATGCATGTTAAAAAGATTCATTTCATATGAAGAAATAGTTGTATACAACAAAGTTATTTAAAATGGTGCAAGACCATGACGACGTGTCATAAAAGTCCATGTTTAATAATTTTAAAGAAATCAACTTGTTTATTCATATAACTCCTTTATCATTTATTCTTTTGATTTGATCGAAACAGTATAACTGTTTAAGTAATGGTTTAAGTAAAATACCTTTTAGTAGGATCTCTAAATATGATTATAAGTTTAGTCTGCGGTGTCAGCTGTTTTATGAAATAAAAGTTGGTATAACGAGGCTCATCTAAATTCTTGTTGACTTTAAGCTGCTCCCAACTTGTATGTGAATATAATGTTGCTACGCTCGAGTCAGCTGCAGAATGAATTGTAAGCATTATTTTAAGTAATTCTAATGTGTTCTTTCTTCTGCAAGATTAAAAAATAGTTACTGACTTTAAACTGACGCTTCTCCTGTAATGTAAACTCATTCTAATATACAATGTCTGATTTAAAAAAACAAAAACAAAAAAAAAGCAAATGACGTAGTCAAAGAACTGATGAATTCGATAAAAATTGTGCAAGCATATTTTTTATTGGTCGAAAAATATTTTGTAGTGCACCGCAAACACGATATTACAAGAATAATATTCACATCTATGCCTCCCTCAAAGTGCAACCTTTTTATACATCATGAAACCATAACAGCGGTTGGCTTAAACTACTTGTTTCATTCAAACATGTTATGTAAAACATAATTTAAATTCTTTAGCAATGCTGTACATAAGGGCAGCACAATCGTCACTCTAATTGTAAGCCAACCTGATAATTTTGATTCAAAGGGAGCAACCTTTTTATACATCATGAAACCATATCAGCGGTTGGCTCAAACTACTTGTTTCATTCAAACATGTTATGTAAAACATAATTTAAATTTTTTAGCAATGCTGTACATAAGGGCAGCTCAGTCGTCACTCTAATTGTAAGCCAACCTGATAATTTTGATTCAAAGGGAGCTCGATTTTCAAATCCAATCAAACAGAGCCTTCACGATGTTGGTCGTTATTTAAATCACTATTCAATCTTCAGCATTGTTAGTATTTGATTCGGAACTGTAATTCTTATTAAAAGAATGTTTTAAAGGGATTATCTGTTAAATTTATTATATACTGTTAGATTTGTTTTCCCCGTGATACAAAAAGCCACAGGGAAAAAAAAAATTGAAAATTGAAATTTAAATTTTTTGTACAAAAGCCCTTTGGGTTTTCCCTTTTAAAAGACAAAACCCAAAAATTTTTTTTTTAATTTTCTCAGTTGAACGTTCGTATGAATAAGTTATGTTAATGAAAACCGACTCAATACTCTCTTTCGTTCAGCTCATACGTTTTTTTTAAAAAAATGTGAAAATGTTCAAGAAAATTTTTAGATTTTCAGATATTTCAAAAAATTTGGAAATAAAAAAATTTGATCGTGGTTGAATGAAAAATTTAATTAAAAAATTTTAAAATTGATTGATCCTGTTTAAATTGACAGCCCAAAAAAAATTTGGGATCGGCAAAAGGGAAAATTTTTCAAAATGCAGTTAAAAATTTAAAAATTTTTCGAAGACATGTTCAAACAGTGATGATCACGTGACTCTCGCTGGTGGTTTGTTGTTGGGATATATCATAATCAAGTAGACTTTACAAAATAGTAATATATCACAAACGTGTACTCTACAAGATGTAAATTTATTTTCCTAAAGTCCCTAACATCAAGACTGGTTAGACATGCTATTGATCATGCGCAATATGCATATATTATAAACTAGTTAAAAACTGATATTACTACAACTGTCACATAGTAATACCCTTTATTATGAGTCTAAGGTATATCGAAAACATGTTATCTACGCGAACATATAATAAGCAGA